AACCCATATGTGGTACTCAGAAACTACATCGCCCAGAATGCAATAGAGGCAGCTGAAAATGGTGACCTCTCAGAGGTGGGGCTATTACTAGCTTTGTTATATTTTTTTGTCTTTACTTGGAGACATACACTATCATTCAAAAGTTTGGAGTCAGCAAGTTTTTTTTTTTTTTTTTGAATTTATTCTTTTATTCCGCAAGGACACATTCAATTGATCAAAAGTGACAGTTTTACAAGACTTTTACAAAAAGTTATATTTTAAATAAATAAATAAATATATTTTTTAAAATAAATCTTACCTCTATATTCATCAGTAAAAAATGTACCACAGTTTTTACAAAAATATTGATCAGCACAACCTTTTTGAAAATAAGAGATAAGCATATTTGAATGAAACGATCATGTGACACTAAAGACTGGAGTAATGGCTGCTGAAAATTCTATTTTAAAATATATCAAAATGGAAAACAGTTGTTTTAAATTGTAATAATATTTCACAATTTTACTGTATTTTTGGTAAGCATAAGAGACTTATTTAAAAAAAAAAAAAAAATTATAGACCCCAAACTTTTGGAAAGTTATGTTTTTATTGAACAGTTGTTATAAATGTTATGATGTCTCTTAATAGTTCATGTTTTTTTATTTGTGATCTTTATAATTTCTCTTGTGATGTGATTTTATGGCATAAATTCCATAGTCTTAAAAATCTGCATTTAGACTTCATCTTCTTCTCAAATCCATTAGGTCCAGAGAGTTTTGAAAGTGTTGGAAAAGCCGTTCTCTGTGCAGGAAGGTCTTGAAAAGCCAGGCTGGGTGGGAAGAGGAGGAGTGGCGGATTCTGAAGAAAGAGATGAGACCGGAGAAGAAGGGAATACTTCAGGAGCAGAGGCTCGAGTGCTTGTCCCATATGACAGCAAGCCCCCCATGTGGGCCAATGAGATCTGTGTCACCTGATCATCATAAAACCTTCATGACAACTAACCTACTCATTTAAGCAGAATAATCCTGCAGAAGCTAGTTAGGTGTCAGTGAAGGTATTAAATGAGGCATTAAACTCCTGTCCACCAGTTAAAAACATGCAGTAAGATAATGTGTAGGGGGCTAAATGAAAATCCAGCACGTTTATTGCTGTATATTTGACTGGTTGCAAATGATGACTTAGACCACCAGTCTAACCATGACAGGTCTCAGTCGGAAAGATTGGAAGTTATGCCTTTATATAAAATGACTGTGACTTTCAAGTGAAACGCACAAGCCCTTGATCAACCAAGCTCCAATGCTTAAACGCACAAACAGTTTACCTAAAGTCTCTCACTTTAAATCATGTAGTCATAAGTACGTAGAATTGATTTAACACAATCCATGTGTAGCTGAAATAGTCTATTAATTCAGCAACTACATTTACTTGTAAATAGTAACTTGACTGAAAGTATTTTATTTTCAGTTAAGTGCTTTGTTTCCTTACCACACCCCTTCACCAATTAATTTTTAAAGTGTAATTGGAAAATGCATAAATCATTCATTTTACATTTTAATTTTGGAGCCGACAGAGGGAGTACTGTATTTTCGTATATGCTTTGTGTCCATTCCTAAAATGCCATTTTGATTTTGTTCAAAATATAATTAACCGAATTTTAATGTCTTTCAGCGTAGTTTCAACAACTGTGAAGAAATTTTCAGACATTATTTATATAATTTTTATGAACGTCCCTGATGAATATGCAATATTTCTAAGATAAAGCACTAATTTAATAAACATAACAAATAGCATGTCTGTGTTCTAATTTTGTAAACTAGGATTATTTCTGTGAAGATGAGGTTTTGTATTTGTAAAAGACATTTGGGACCTTTTCAGTGAGAGTGTGTGGGGAAGCGGCTTCCATTGTTTTCATTTAGGGAGGAATGTCTGTGCCTGGGGCCCAATACTTAAGTAACATGTTAACACGGGTTCAGATGTGCGCCTAAAATATGAAGGCAGATTTCAACAGTGTCAAGTACTTGCAGACCAAAAAAATATCCCTGTAATGTATTGCATATAACAGAGGAACAAGCATTCTTCTTTGTTCATATTGTAAAAGATCAAAATCCATGGGACTCCCAAAGCCCTCGTTTTAATGTTTTTCAAGGCTGTAGAACAGGGGTCACCAAACTCGGTCCTGGAGGGCCGGTGTCCTGCAGAGTTTAGTTCCAACTTGCATCAACACACCTGCCTGGAAGTTTCAAGTATACCTATTAAAGGGGTCATATGATGCGATTTCATTTTTTCCTTTCTCTTTAGAGTGTTACAAGCTCTTGGTGCATAAAGAAGATCTGTAAAGTTGCAAAGACTAAAGTCTCAAATCCAAAGAGATATTCTTTATAAAAGTTAAGAGTTAGCCACACCTACCTAAAACGGCTCGTTCGAACACGCCCCCACATATACTAATACTTTCTAAATATGTTAGTAAGTAACCAAATAGTGACGAGTATCTTTTCCAATGTTACTAGTAACTATTCTAACTATGTAGCCTAACTATGATTCAAGCAGAGATTAGTATCAGAATCAGAAGAGCTTTATTACCAAGTATGTTTACACACACAAGGAATTTGACTTGATGACAGGAGCTACCAGTGCAGAAGAAAGTACAGACATAGTGCAGACATACATGATGAGCAAGGGGGTTTCTCCTGAAGTCCACGATCATCTCCACAGTTTTGAGCATGTTAAGCTCCAGGTTGTTAAGACTGCACCAGACAGCCAGCTATCCCAGAAAACTGTCTATTCACTTAAGTACTATGACAACTGGAATAGATAGTAATTATTTAAATAGTTACAAGTAAAACTGGAATAGTTATGAACAACAAATGAAAAACATACTAATGAATAACATTGAGTATGTTTACACAACAATTGTACTAAAAACTGAAAAGTTTTCCTCTGCGTTTTTAAAAGGTTTTGCATACGGACAATGTTGTCAAATGTTGTTAAAATTATCTCTGTTCACACAGATGCACAAAAACAACTAAAAATGGTGTATTATGCATGCCAGGTCAGTAGTTGGTGATGTCAGTTTGTAAAGAAACACTACACATAGACTGAACCCATGCGCATGACATTGCTGCTTTCATTTTTAAAAACTTGCACTTTGAAACCTTGTAAATGAACAACCAAAACATATACAAAGTTTTTAGTTGAATATGCTGTTGTGTAAACACCCTCTGATATCTGAACAAGCTGATATCTGAACAAAGATTCTCATAGAATTCAATGACAATAAAATATGGTAAAGTAAAAATGAGATACTTGTCACTATTGGGATAGAGACTAGTAGCAAAGCTAATTATACTATTATGTAATGAATATGCAATACTAGATTCTGGATGCTAATGGTATAAGTACTTATTATTCTAATTGAAGTTGGTGGTAAGATTTAAAATGTCTTCTAATCATTAAATTAATAACATTTACATTTAAGTCTCAGTTAGCTTAACGCAGTACATGAAGCAAGGTTTTTTTTAATTATATAATAAAAAAAGGAAACAGATAGAATAGTAAAAGAATAGAGCAAGCTAGTGTTAGAGGCCTTTTTTGCTTTTGTTAATTGTATAATAAATAAAAAGAAAACAAATAGCTTGAATACAAAAATATTAGAGAAGCTAGTGTTAGTTTTCTTTAAGAAAACAAGCAGTAAATGAATAGAGTGCAAGTTTTTGTTTTTAAAGAATATAATTAGAATAGAGAGTGCTAGAGTTAGAGGGTCAAATAAAGATGGAAGAGATGTGTTTTTAGCCGATTCTTGAAGATGGCTAAGGACTCAGCTGCTCGGATTGAGTTGGGCAGGTCATTCCACCAGGAGGGAACATTTAATTTAGAAGTCAGGGAAAGTGATTTTGTGCCTCTTTGGGATGGCAGAATAAAGCAACGCTCACTTGCAGAACGCAAGCTTCTAGAGGGCACATAAGTCTGAGTAATGAATTTAGGTAAAGGGGTGCAGAGCCAGTGGTGGTTTCGTAGGCAAACATTAATGCCTTGAATTTTATGCGAGCAGCTATTGGTAGCGATGGTGAAATATTAATATTATATTAATTGCTGCTTATTAATAGTTAGTAAGGTAGTTGTTACTTTTAGGTGTGGGGTTGGATTAAGGGATCTAAAATATGGTCATGCAGAATAAGGTATTTCTTCTTGATGTTGAATAAAGCAAATCTGCAGGACCGGGCATTTAGCAATGTGGTCTGAAAAAGTCAACTGATCACCAATCATAACTCCAAGGTTTCTGGCTGTTTTTGAAGGAGTTATGGTTGATGTGCCTAAGTGGATGGTGAAATATTAATATTATATTAATTGCTGCTTATTAATAGTTAGTAAGGTAGTTGTTACTTTTAGGTGTGGGGTTGGATTAAGGGATCTAAAATATGGTCATGCAGAATAAGGCATTAATATGTACTTTATAAGTACTACTAAACAGCTAATATGCTAGTAATATGCATGCTAATAAGCAGCTAGTTAATAGTGAGCATTGATCCTTAAAATAAAGTGTTACCACTAGTTGGTTTAATAAATGTCAAAACAGCTTTCCATACATGAGTTGCATCACTGAGACAAAATAACCAAGATCATGATTGTCCTTCAGTGAATGTGAGAACTGCTGCATGTTTGTTCTTCTACAGCAGGGGTCACCAAACTCGGTCCTGGAGGGCCAGTGTCCTGCAGAGTTTAGCTCCAACCCTAATCAAACACACCTGAACCAGCTAATCAAGGTCTTAAAGGGGTCATATGATGCTGCTAAAAAGAACATTATTTTGTGTATTTGGTGTAATGAAATGTGTTTATGCGGTTTAAAGTAAAAAAAACACATTATTTTCCACATACTGTACATTATTGTTTCTCCTCTATGCCCCGCCTTTTTGAAACGCGTCGATTTTTACAAAGCTCATCGATCTGAAAAATTTAAAAAAGCATCATATGACCCCTTTAAAATAGGTATTACTACTTAGGTTTACACAACAGCTTTGTTAAATCGGCTTGCCATACACACGGCCACGGTGGAGAGGGAGCGGTTACGCGGGCACGCACAGTCTATGAACGCGCACAGGTAGATTTCTATTATCAGTGTTCAGGTAAACCTGGAAATCACAGTCGCGAGACTCGAAGTGGCACGTTTAAAGGGGTATTCACCAATATGTCAGCCCGATCAAGACCTGGCTATTATCGCCAGGAGGTGAATAAAACTGTTTGGGAGGTGCTGGAGAGATACAGAGATCTGAAACAGGTGGGGACAGGGGCATATGGTACAGTATGGTGAGTGTACTCTCATTTTTTGTACTTCCTGGAAAGAATCGTGCTTTACATTTTAAAAACACGTAATTCATTGTCATTGTAGCAGATCCATGTATCCAGCGTCTATTCAAAACAAATGATGTGGACTGAGGTAGTCAAGCACAAGTAAAAGATTAATTTATGATTAGTGCCTGAAAAACTACGTTGTGTAGTACAGCTCATTGCATTACTATGAGGTTAATAATTGTAAGATGGCAGCTGTTGACGAACACTGCCTGTGGTCAGTTGATGATGGTTTATTGCATGCCCTTAACTTTCCATACTTGATTTAAAAGGCCCAGAGTAATATACCACTATTGAGACACATCCCACACCTTAATATGTCATTAAAAAAATCCACTTTGAAATTATACTGTAGGTTATTACCATTTACTATCCCTAAAACCATTCGTCCTCAGACCAGTCCTTCATATAATTAAAATACATCACCTAAGATAAACAGAAATATATGTCAGACACATGACTTCTTTTAAAAAGAATTATTTGAGCATAGGAGTTTCTTTTGAGATGGCAAGCTTCTTTTGTTGTAAAGTCTACTGTATTTATGTACACTAGTTTGCAATTTGTGTACATAATAGTATTTATTTCTTTGCTACTAGTCAATATTCCAGTAGTCAGTGACAAGTAATTTCAGTTTTACTGGTAACGCATTTTATTGTCATTTAATTCTATGGAATCTGTTTCAGATATCAGCTATTCATTAATGAATATTGTATGTTTTCCAGTTGTTGCTTTTACCTATTGCAGTTTTACCTGTAACCTTTTAAATAGTTACTATTATCTATTCTAGATGTCCTAGTACTTAAGTGTAGTTGAAGGAAAGATTGAATAAATATTACTTAGCAATGGAATCATTACTAGTATCTAAAGCATAGTTACAGTGATTTTGAAAAATATTATTTTATTAGTTATTATTTGATTGATTCCTATGTTAAAAAAAAGCATTAGTAACATTAAAATAGATATTAGTGCGGTTTATACAATAGCTGTTAAAATGGCCCTATAGAACTCAATGGCAATACAATCTATATTTATGTACTCTAGCTTGAAATGCATGCATGCATGCATTTACAACTGGTGATTTATTCCTCAGCTATGCAGTTGACCGGAGGACAGGGGCAAAGGTGGCCATCAAGAAACTCCATCGTCCCTTCCAGTCTGATCTGTTTGCCAAAAGAGCTTATCGGGAGCTCAGGCTACTCAAACACATGAAACATGATAATGTAAGACACCTAAAATTGACACTCAATAATGAGAGTTTCTCATGTGCCCTGTCATAAATGAACAGATTTGCAGGCTTCATGCTGTGCTGTATTTAAAAATCACCGGTTGAACCCTTACAGGTTATTGGACTCCTGGATGTTTTCACTGCAGACCTTTCTCTAGACAGATTCCATGACTTGTGAGTATTTTACAAGTGCTTTGACTGTGATTGTTTTTGATATAGTGATTCTTGGATGCATGCTCATCATCTGATTCTCCCTGTCTTTTGCACAGTTACTTGGTCATGCCTTTCATGGGTACTGATCTAGGAAAGTTAATGAAAATGGAGAGACTGTCAGAGGACAGGGTCCAGTATCTGGTTTACCAGATGTTGAGAGGACTTAAAGTGAGTACAGTAAACAGCGTTTTTCCGGCAGTGCCGTGGAGTGAGGCAGGGCTGCAGTCTGAGCCCATCTCTATTTAACATCTACATGAATGATCTGGCTGCAGCACTGGAGCGCTCTGATATCCCCGGCCTCACTCTACAGCATTCAGAGCTCAGATGCCTGCTGTATGCAGACGACCTGGGTCTGCTGTCCCGCACAGCTGATGGGCTTCAGCAGAGCCTGGCCCTGCTGGAACAATACTGTCACCAATGGGCCCTGACCGTAAACCTGGACAAATCTAGAGTCATGGTGTTCCAGAAGAAGGCCAGGTCTCAGGGAAACAAACACACATATAAAGGACAGGACTTACAGCACAGCACTAGCTACAGTTACCTGGGCATCGACATCAGCGCATCGAGAGGCTTCGGTCTGGCTGTCAAAACACTGAGCAAAAAGGCTCGGAGGGTTTTTTATACAATAAAGTCACGATGTGGTCAATTAAAACTGCCCATTAAAACCTGGATTAAATTATATATCTCTATAATAAAACCAATTCTTTTATATGGATGTGAAATTTGGGGACCAGTACTAA